TCATACTCTCAGGAAACAGACTTCCTGGGATCTGGAACTCTACACAGACACAGACACAGACACACACACACACATCCTCAGGTATGCCCGCGCACGGAGCCTGGCACCCCCTCCAAGGCACGGACAAAGCCTCAGAGACGCACACACAGCACTCAGAGACACAGTGCCCCCAGTATATTTATATGGCCTCCTCCAGCGCACTTCTGCCCTGCCCCTCTGGGCACTCCTTTACCAGGGCCCAGGGAAATTCCAGGTAACAGCAGCGACAGTTAATGCTGTGTTAGGCACAGCTAAACACTTTAAACACATCAGTCCATTTCATCTTCACCACAATCCCATGAGGTAGATATTATTATCCCGTTTTACAAATGAGGAAATAGATTCAGAAACATTAAGACACTTGCTTAGGTCACACAGCTGACAAGTAGCAAAGCTGGGGTTTGGAGCTGCGTCCGTGTGACAGCCTGTACCCTGCACTCTGCTACCTTAAGGGGGCAGCCTCCTGGGTCTCCTCTCCTGGAGAGATCTGGGCTGGAGGCTGGGGAGTGGGCAGGAAGGACGAACCCTGGGGGATGCCTGACTGTGGGGCTGGGCCAGAAGGGGCCCTTAGGGAGAGGCATTACTCCTGGCTTGGACAGAGCTGAGCCAGCTGTGGGAGGGAATGAACTAGGAGGCGGGCAGCCTGCTCCAGCGGTCCTCAGAACCTGGGCCACAGGCCCTTGGCAGCAGGGCATCGGGGCCAGGCCAGGGGCCTCTGAGGGTGATAAAGCTGGGAACCCAACCGAGACTGCAGATCTGAAGGAGCTGTCTGGCCCGGTCGGCAGCCATTGTTCCCAGCCTCCAATCAGGAGCACCTACTTCCTGTTATTTTAGGCGGCAGGAAATGACCCCATGCCGCAGCCCGGGGCCCTCCCTTCGGCCCCAGCAGGGCTGCCCACAAGGAGGCCTACATAGTAAGGGCAGAGGCCCAGCCTCAGGCCAAGGCCTGAGGATGCCCCACGGGCTGGTCTGTCACCGCTGCCCAGGTCCAGGGCCTCCTTCTGGTCCCACCTGCTCAGACTCCAACCTGGCAGGAGGCAAGGCGAACCTGCTCAACCTCTGCCTGCCAGAGAAAAGATCATGGAGCCCCCAAGACCAAGATGCCCACAGAAGACAGTCATGCAAGGGAAGTGGGCCAGACTCTGTCACTAGCCAGCTTAGCCATGATAATTCAGCATAGAGGTTTGGAGGCTTTAGAATCAGATGGCCCTGGGTTCATATCCTGACTCTCCCAGTTCCTAGCTGTGTGACTTTAGGCAAGTGACTTTGCCTCTCTGTGCCTCCTCTGTCAAATGGGGATAACATTAGTCCCTACTCATAAGATTGCTTTAAGGATCAAATGAGACAACGCATCTGAGTGTTGAGCATTGTGCCCGGCACAGAGAAGGCCCTTAATAAATAAGAGTAAGAAATAAGTTGGTTCTCCAGGGAGTCTATTCCTGGCCCATATCTCCTCTTAAATTGGCGAGCAGTGCTAATAGGAGAAGCAATACTGTGTTCTCTACCCCGTACCGTGCTCTCTGCTCCTCTCAGGGCAGAGCTGCAGCTGAGAAGTGATGGAGGAGATGCTGAAGGCTGTGCCCTGGGGTGCCAGGCAGAGCTGCCACCGCCAACAAAGCTGCATTATCTGAGCCTGGCCCCTTGGCTCCCTTACTGGCCCCAAGGCCCAGCAGGAACCCAGGGACATGGCTCCCAGCTGCTTGCGGCCTACCTTCCAGGCTTGGTAAGACCTGAGACCTGCCCTGACTGCCTGGAAATGCCACCACTCCAGTCTGCGCCCTGCTTTCAGCTCCTCCCCCTCTCCCTCAGCCCCGCCCACCAACACTGATGCCCATCCTGAGGGGCAGGGCAGGGGAACTGGTCTAGTGCCCCTTCCTCCTCATTTGCATATGTGTGACTGCATACTAGGGGCTCATTAGAGGTCTCATTACTGGGCCCACCAGCCCAAGGAGGGATGGAAGCTGCCAGTGGAAGGTGCCAGCCAGGCTGGCTGCTGTATGTAGAGTGGCCCACTGCGCCAGTCTCACCAACTTCTCGTCATCCTTTCAGGTCCACCTTAAATGCCGCCTCCTCTGTGAAGCCTTCCACAAGAAGAGCCCAATTATACCTGGGTTTTCCTGCAGTGAACAGCCTGCATCCGCCACTGGGCCGGCAGCTCCCCAAGGGTAGCCACTCTGATTCACTTCTCTGCCATCTGCATAGCCCGCACCAAGCTGGCCACACGGCGGGCATCGGCATGGGTGTGCCGGCTGGCTAGCTGGACCCATCTCCTGTGTCTCTCTCCTACTCCCACTACCCCACTCCAAGTACAGGGGACCCCTCTTTTCCCCAGACACACCCTGGCTCATGTCCTTCTAGAATTCCCCTCCCCCTTGCCCTCTGTCCCACATTTACCTCCTGAAGTTCTCATTAGTCACACCTCTTTCTCAGGCCTCTGGAGGAACGAAAAATAATAACATCCAAAACCAAATAGTGTTTATTGAGCATGAACCACATGCCAGGGACTAGGCTAAGAGTTTTGTGTGTTCTCATTTAATGATCCCAATGTCTCTGTGAGATCATTTCTAGCATTATCCTCATTTTGTAGATGGGAAAACTTAAGATTTAGGTTAAGCAACTTACTTGAGGTCACAAAGCAGTAAATTATGGAGACTTAAACTGTCGGACTCCAGAGTCTCTGCTCCTAGGTAAAATGACTCCCAATTCCTGTCCCCGCCTCCCCCATATTTCGTACCTCCCTGCTGGCACCGGTTCCGATGAGCACAGCCATAATGACGGTAATGATACTGTACTGCGGGTGTCTGGGTGCCAGCTTCCTTCAGGTACATCATTTCTAACCCTCACATTAACTCCACCAGGTTGATAACACTACCTCCATTTTCCAGGGGTATAAACTGTGTGTGGAGGAGGCAAGTTAGTTGCTCCAGTCCAGTAGCCAGTAAATGGCTTAGCTTTCCATCCTGGGCTCTCCATCCTGGTCTTCTGACCCAAAAGCAGATGCCACACTGGTCCCCTACTCCACACTGCCTCCTGTTAATGCTGTTTGCAAAGGGAACTCAAAGAAAACAGGGATCACGTCATGCACACTCAGAGTCTCAGACCCATGTCTCAGACTCTCACAGGGCTCATGCAGTGGGCACGACTTTTATTCCCAGGAAGCCCTTGGTTCATAGGGAGCCCCTGTCACCTTCAACTTCTGTGTAGGGACCAGCCACCATTCCAATCCAGGTACTCAAGTAACTCTATCTAGACCCCTGTGTACAGAAAAGTCTTCCTAATCCAGGACCTTGTATGCAGGCCCCATGCAGGCTCCCCAGTACATCCCATGCATGCCCTCATATTTGGTCCAGCATCCCACTCAAGTGCCCTAATTATAAACTAGCCACCCACTCGGGCCCTCATCTATGGCCCAGTCACCACCCCCATTCAGGCCCCAGGGAACACACCAGTGCCAGGAAGCCTCCGGTGCAGAGGGCCAGGAAGCACATGCAATGGACTCAGGACCTCCCTCTCAGGCCCTCTCAGGCTCAACAGAGCCAAGACAGACCCAAGTGCCCTTGTTCAGCACGGCCTACAGACCTCCAAAGTGCACCAGTCAGATAGCCTCCCCTCTGTGCCCTCCAACTCCCACACCCACACAGTCCCCTCAAAGAACCGCAATGGCACAGGAGGAGCCCACCCACAGCCAAGCAGCTCCACCTTGTCCTGGGCTCTCCACAGGCACAGACACTGTTTCCTCCTAGGCCCATGCCCCAGGGGGTAGGGAGGTGACCCGGATTAAGTTCTAGGACTCCACGGAGGTGTGGGGCTGGGGCCACCTCCCCCCTGAGTCAATGGGAGCAGGACTTGGGTCCTCAGTAATCATGCTCTTCCCTCCCCTTTCAGGAAGAAAGAGAAAGAGAAATCCCTCCCTCGAACACGAGACCCAACCAGAAACCTGTCCCCACCCCCTCATCAGCTGCTCCCAGATCCGAATGGGATTTGCAGAAGTCCTGGGCACTGGTGGTTGGTGGGGTGAGGGGAGGGCAGGGGCGCTTTGATGGTCTGGGGCCTGGAGAGTGTGTGAGTGTGTGTGTGTGTGTGGAAGAGGGGAGATAGGCAAGGCCTCGGGGTGAAGAATGATGTGGCAGGTCCCTAGAGTGCCGGCCTTGAGCCTTCACCTCATTCTCCAGGGCGAGACTCAGGCGCAGAGAGGCTGGGGAGGAGGGCGGCAGAATAAGCAGATTTACTTCTGGCCCCTTCTTCCTCAAATCGGGCTGGGTGGGCTCTGGAGGAGGCCAGGCTGCAGGGGAGGCGGCCCACTCCCCAGCTCCCGCCCTCGCCCCAAACAATGCCGCCTCCCCCTCCCCCTCGCCTTTATCCGGCGGGTTACTTGGCAGCCGCCGCTAGAGACCTCCCCCTCCCCTCCCCTCCCGGCCGGCCCGCAGCAGCAACAGGCCCTTTGCGCGGCAGCTGGAGGGATGGGGTGGGGGCGAGGTCTGGGCCAAGGCCTAGGCTTCGGTATGCTGGGTTCCAGGCCTGAGAATCTGCACCCCCAACACACACAGTAAGGCTGGGGTCAGATGCGCCCACCCGGGATGAGGAGTTTGACACACGCCTCAGCTCCGTAGAAAAGGATCTTCAGGGCCCGGGGTGGATCGGGAAGAGGGGTGGGGGCGGGGAAGCCGAGGTGGCACTGGGCTGGGGCGGAAGGGTCACCGAACAACTCTGGAGCGGGGTCCGTGCAGATCCCGCCGCCCAGTGCCTCCCAGCGCCCGGGGTGGGGGAGGGGGCAGCTGTCAGAAGATGCGTCGGTGGCCCTGGAGGCGCCGCCGCCGCCGCAGCCTTTATTTTTAAACTTCCAAGTGGTGAGAGGGCGCGGCGGGGGAGGGGTCCTCGCTCCGCGGGCCGGCCTCATCCTCGGCCTCCCCGAGGCTCCTCGACCTCCCCGCCGTCTCGCTTCTGCCTGGCTCCCGGCATACCTGGGGGAGCGCCGACACCCGGCTCCGCATGTGGGCCGCTCTCCATGGCTGCGGCGTCACTGGGAGGACTTGTGGTCTCAGCGGCGACGGCGGCGGCGGCCAGCGGCCAGGACTGGGGTCCCGCGGCGCATCACGCCCGGGCCGGCCCGGCGGGCAACGACTCGGAGGCGGGGGCGCTCAGGGGAGGGTGGAGGCTGGCGCGGCTGGTGGCCTGCGAGGCTCGGCGTCGCCAGCCGCCCAGTGTGTCTCGGCTGCGGCTGCGATCCTGCTCCTGCCCCGCGCCGGCCCAGTCCCGGCCGCGGCCCAACCCTATTGTACCGCCCGGGCTGGGCCCTGCCTCTCCGCCGGCGCGTACCAAGTGCGACGCGGGGAGGGCGGCCCCCGCAGCGCCCGGGGCCTGCGAAGCCGCGCGCCCGCCCCGCACGCCCGCCGCGCCCCCCTCTGGAGCGCGGGGCCTCGAGCCTCCCGGCGCCTCTTCTGTGGTCGCGGCGGAGGGGCGCCAAGGCTCCCGGAGGACGTCCGTCGAGCTGCCTCCCCCTGCGGCCGCGCGTTGGTATGCGCCGCAGCGCGAGAAGACTATGTAGGGAGCGCTCTGGTGACTCACCCGCCACTAGGACTGGGGGGAATGGGGGGGAGCGGGAGTGGAAGCCCCCAATCTCACTCTGGGGCCTGGGAGCTCCAGCTCTTGGGGCCTTGGTGGCAGCTTCAAATATAAATTCTCTCCCAAACCCACCTCAAGCAAAACCCGCCAGGGAGACATGAAGGAGAGTCACAAGGAGACCCTTAAAAGGTCTCCTTGGTTATGGCTGGGATAGGATGCCGCCCGGGAGCCTTGCTGCTGCCCTTCCTCCAGCATCCTATGGTTGGTGTCTTCTCTGCATCTCTGGGGTAATTATAGGCCTGCACCGCTGCTTTACCCAGGTCTCTAATCTGCTGGGTCCCTCCCGGCTCCCAGCTGGGTGGTCCTGGCCCTGAACCTCCCCCACCCTCATCAGCCAACCCTTGCAATCTCCCCGGAAGGATTTTCTCCCCTGTGGCCTATTGAAGGAGGGAATGAGCCCTTTCTGACTCCCCTCCCCCAAGGAGCCCTGCTTCCCAGCCCTCCGGAGTGGATCCCCCAATCCGCTCGCTGGTTAGTGCCAGCTGAGGTGGGGCCTCAAGCCAAGTCCGGCCGGCCTGGGCAGAGAGGGGAGAGCTTCCTGGGAAGGTGGATCAATGATGGTGCTGCAGAGATTGACAGAGAGGAAGAAGGAGGAGGCGCAGCTGGGCCCTGCCCACCCCATCCCTGCCCTTTGTCCTGACCTCCAGAGGGTCAGTTCTCTAGTTCTCCATTGTGCAGAGATTAGACCCAGTAAGATGCTGTCCGCCTGCTCCCCTTTCCCGCCAGAGTCTCCTTTCTTTGAGCAGCTCCAGAGAGCAGCCATTTCAAGAAACAAAAGGGTCTGGGTCTCAGGCAACCTGGGAGCAGCCTGTCCTGGGAGGTGTGAGTAGTTGGGGGCCTCAACTCTCTTGGGAGTGCCTGGGAAGGGAATAGTGCCCCCTCAGACCCATCATTAGAAAAAGATGGTGATAGAAGGCCTGCAACTGGAGCTGGTAACTTTAAGCTAGTGTCTTAACTTTTCTGAAACCCAATTTGCTCACCTACAAAATCAGGAAAATAATAGTACCATGAGGCATCATGGGGTCATTGCAAAGGTTAAATAAGGCAATGCAGATGTAGTGCTTAGCACAGAGCCTGGCATATTGGAAGTGCTTAATAAATATGATGATGATGGGGCTTCAAGGTAACAGTGGATTAAGGTGAGGAGCACATTCCCATCATTGTCGTCAGCTATCCCATCTGCAGGAAGAGGGGACCACGTGGATGATGGAGTCCAAGACTGTCCTTTGCGGGGCTGGAGGCCTCAGGGCCTGCATTTTCAGAGCTGAACAGGCCCACCCTGAGCCAAGCAGTGAGTAGACTCAGAATTCATGAATGGAACCCAACAGGGAGAGAGCTCTCTGCGATAGTTTTCCCCCCACCCCACACCTGATCTTGTAACTGCAGGAATAAAGACATGTAGGTGCAAATAGTGAGACACTCTCATTGGCTAGAGCTCGAAAATAGTGGAGGAGAAAATGGTAGCTCAAGATGAAAAGACAGGCCAGGGATGGTCTATATAGGAGGATTCGAAGGTCAACTGACATCGTGATCTACATGATGTAGACCGTGGGGAGCTGTTGAAGGTTCTTCAGAAGGGGAAGGGGGAACAGTGCTCTAGAACTGGAAAGCCTTCGTTGTGTCCAATGATCTGGGATTGACTCTGAAGAGCTCACTGCAAAGAGACAGTGTGTGGTATTAGCCTACATCAGGTTCTCAACCAGAGGCAATTTCCCCCCCCCCGCCCCCCTGCCAGGGGACATTTGACAATGTGTAGAGGCACTTTTGGTTGTCACAACTGTGGATGTTACAGGCATCTAGTGCTTAGATGCCAGGGATGTCCTTTAACATCCTACAATGCACAGGACCATCCCCAGAGCACAGAATCATCAGGACCCAAATGTCAGTGGTGCCAAGGTTGAGGAACCCTTCCCTAGATTGAGGGTGGAGACACTTGCACCCCCTCACAAGATGCTACTGGTTGGGACCAGCAGGGCATCTGGGAGCTAGGCAACTTGATGGACAGTTCTCCTGGCCAGCCTCAGAAGGCTTCCTGCACAGCTGATGGGTCCACAGTGAGTCCTGGGAGGATGACTGACAGGGAGCTGGGAGAGCACAGTGTCCTGTGATTGATATAGTCGGAGTAGACAGACCGAGTGGCCTCCTCTTCATTTGCCCCTGACTGACCAGGATCCCTGGCAGATTCCAGGCCCCAGAACCTGAGAGGGTTTAGAATGGGTGTCTCTCTCTGTGTTTGAGGCTGCATGACAGTGTGCCCCACAGTGCCCCGCAAATGTTGGATATCCCAAAGAAGGAGCAACTGGGGCACTTGCAACATCAGGGGCTGCCTGTCGCTTCCCCTGTGCCTCCCCTTCCTCCTGGGGCAGTCCCCTCCCCCTCCACAGAAACTGGCAAGAATGAGCCATTAGTCTCACCGGGAGGCTGGGCTGGCACCAGGGGGCAGGTCACTGACTGGGGATCAGAAATACGTATCCTTCTTGATCCCCTTATGGGGAGGGCAGGAGCCAGAGTGTTTAGGTTTGGTGGGGCTAGGTCCAGGATGAACCTGATGGGGGGTGAAGGAAATCACTGGGAGATTTGACAGACAGATGTGAATCAGGACCTAGGCCCTGGAGGCGGCCTCCACACCCACAAAGTAGGAAGTGGGAGGGGCCTCATGGTGGGGGCAGCAGAGAGAACAGACACCGGATTCTCCCTGCCACCCCATGAACAAGGTCCTGCAGCTGGAAGGGGTCTCTAATCCAGTCTGGCTGTGCTGTAGCCTCCAGGGCTCACTCCCTGCGGCGGGGGTGGGGAACATCCTCAAGGGTGGTGGTGGCACCAGCTGCAATAAGGCCCCCCTCCCTCCAGCTCTCGGGGAGAGAGAGGAACAGAGAGGGATTGGAGGAGGAGGAACTCAGATCTAGGACTAAAAAGGTTCAACCCTTTGGGTTCCTGGGAGGAGGTCCTTGTCTAGAGTCCCTACTCCCTGCTAGGGATAGGAAGCTGTCCTTGCTGTGTTGTTTTCTAGGGAGAAGGAGATGAGGGCGGGGAGGGGGTGCCCATTGTCCCTAAATGTCCTGACCCCAGGGGTGGTGGAGAGGGATTGGGATTTGGGAATGATGGGAACTGTACTCAGAGCCCTTGGAGCAGCTGAAGAACTTTTAAATTCCCATCTGAGCAAGGAGGAGACCCTACAGATCAGCCTGAATGGACCCCACCCCACTCTTAATTCAGGACTGATGACTCTACAAGGAGGAGTCCCAAAGAAAAAGAGGATGCCAAGAGGAGGGATCACAGGCAAAGGAAGAATCTCAGAGGTTGTAAGACAGGCAGAGGGAGGCTCCGCCTCCTGTCTCTCCAGAACTGCCCTGTCTGACAGCAGGCTGGGTGGGGTTGGTGGCTGGCCGTGACTGTGACTCAGGTTTCTGTGGGCAGCCAAGGGCAGCCGGCAGGGAGGAGCCCAGACCGACAGGCCAGCCAGCTGCAGCTTTCACCTCAGCTGTCCTCTCTCTTGGGAACGCAGGAGCCTCCTCTCTAGCTGTGCTGGCTTCTGGGGGCTAGCTGACCCCTGCTTCCCCCTCCAACACACACACAACCCACCCTCATGTTCCTTCCCAGAACCCTCAGCCCTTGGCCCTGTCTCCCAGCAGCACTGATGCAGGAGGGAGAGTCAGGGGTCACTGACTCTAGGGAGGCCCCAGTCTGTGCCCCAGGGTATAATAATGATTGGTCTTGCACCCTGAGGGAGAGACTGGGGGAATCTCGGGCACTGGCTTTCAGCCTGAGGAGTCTGGGCCCCCCAGCCTTCCCCAGCCTGGTTGGCTCATGTCTGGGCAGGCTGGTTGTCATGGTGAAAGCTAGGGGCTAGAATGCAGCTGCTGCAGAGTCAGGCTACCAGACTAAGTGAAAAGAGGGTGCTCAGGGACCCCCCCCCCCCCCCCCCCCCCCC